AGGGTGAAGTGCTGAAAAGACGCTAGGAGGATGAGAATGGATATCTGCCCTCTCTCCATTGACAGGAGGTCACCTGTCAATGAGGCTGAGGCAATCCCATGCACTGGCCTGACTCCAGAGATTGTGCCTGGTCTAGAATGTGAACTTCCTTTAGGTGTGTGTATGGCTGACCTCAGGCCTAAGTTCCCTGAGCTTGGTTAAGAGTAGAAGTCAAGACGCTGTTGTCTCACCGGAAAAGCAGCAGGTCCCAAAGGAATGTGCTAGAATGGCTTGAGATACGCATCCAGCACACAGTGATAGGGAACTGTACACTTGCCATTGCACACTCCCTTTGCAGATTCTAAAACAGATCATTTTTTTCCCCCACGGGCTGCATTCAACCTCTACACACATCCAACAAGAGTACATCGACACACTACACACACCCAGTAAGAACAGGCTTGAAATGTGCCCAAGTGTGAACCCTTCAGAGCAGAGGAAAATCTGTCTGCTGCAGACTCTCTCCTTGGGAACTCTTCTGCCCCTCACCTGCCTCTACTCACACATGGGCTTCCCAGGGCACGTCAGGTTCCAGACCTCCATCCTCCCCTTCAAAGTGGTCAGTGGCTGGGACCTGGCATGAATCTATGACCCCCTGAAGATCCAAGTCAAGGGCCATCGCTGAGACCCTCCCACTTGTCTGGCAAAATGAGACTGTTGGCAATACAAGTAAAGCCTGTCTGTGAGGGAGAACAATTTTCTTTGGGGACCATCGAAAGTTGCAGAGTGATGCCCACAGAAACTAAGGACACTGCAAAACCTCAACACCACCTGCCCCAGGTCCAGGCATATTGCTTTGATGGGATGTTCTTCTGGGCAAGCACAAAGCAACAGGAATATTAAAACAAGTTACTAAAACAAAATACTGGGCACACAGCAACTCCTCTAGGAGAGGCTGTAAGAAAGAACAAACTGCGTGTGGCTTTGGATGCCACGGGACGCCAAGACACTGCTCCGAGTGGGAGGCAAGAGCCTTACAGAACACAAGGAAAAGAACAACCTAGTCTGTGCAGTGAAATTGGAAGGACAGTGTTTGGAGTGACCCCCAGTAAGCAGGAAGAGAAAGAACTGGAGCTTCTGGCTGCAGCCCCAACCAGAGAACCACAGAAAGAGGTAGAGGGGGGACAATGACCAGACTGCTGGGGGGTCCTGAACACCCTTCAGCTCTTTTGGCTGTGCTGGGTGCGTCACTACATTCCTCCTCCTAGACACTCTGACGCTAGGAGCAGTTCAGTCTCAATCACAACAATTAGCAGGCAAGAGAAGCGGATTGCAAGGGACAGTTTAAGGAAGTTGAAATGCACAAGTCAGGGTTCACACCCAATGCTAATAAAGCGATCCTAGAACAATGGTTACAGACCTGGACTCAGTTTCCCTGCTCCCTACTGAATTGGCCAAGAGATCCTCATCTCAGAGGAATGGGCGTGAATACAGAAATATGAATCCGAGTTGTATAAAACCCCCACACAAAGGCAGAGGGGTGGGAGTCTGCAACCTGCCTTAAACCTGAGGACAGATTCTGCAGGCCCTGAGACCTTGCCACCCTATGTCTGTATTCTCTGCTGTATATAGCTGCTCTGGGTCATGCTACCCGATTGCTTATATCCCAATAATCCAGCGTCTAGTTTGGAGGAACTTGTTTTGGCTTCTCTTGTACTTCTCTGGATAAAATAAAAGCCCCTAGAGACATCCTGGGTGTGACAAGTCACAACAGCCTGAAGGAATGAAAAGCTCTCAATTCAGAGCTATTAGAAGCAAGGCACCGCCATCCAAAGCACTAGCAGATTGTGAATCCATCACTAGCAGGAAAGATGAAGAGGCATGTTCAGATAGCAGTATCTTATGTGCTTCTTCTGCAGAGAGGTTAAGCCACAGGAGGTCTTTTTGAGGCTTCTGCTAGGTCCTGGGAGGGTCACAGTGGGAGCCAGTTCATATTTACCTGCCAGGCTGGATAACATAGAAGTCCAGGTAAGCTCCATCCCCTTTGAGGCAACCAGGATAAAATAATGGGAACATTTCAGGTGCCATTCCTGCAGCAAGCCAAGAGAGATAAACTGAGTGCCTGGGAGTAGCCAGGGGTAGGAGAGACAGAGGCACTGTCCTACAGTGGGGAGGGAGTAGGATTAAACTCAAGCCCCTTCTAAGTGATCCTGCAGCAGCCAGCAGTGCTCAGAGCAGGCTCCCTCCAGCCCTGTTTCAGAGGTTGGCAACTTGCAGCTGCTGCTGCGCAAGCATGGTAGCTCAGGTTTGGGCTCAGAGCCACTTGGAAGTGGAGGCAGCAGTTTCCCCCCGGAAGTGAGCAGCAGCACTCATACCTGCACTGCCCCCTCCGGGGACTGGGCCTGGCTCTGCCTATGTAATGGGCCAGTGCAGCCAACAGTGCAAAGAGGTGACGGCCAGCCACTGCAACACAGGCTAAAAGTCCAGGAGGGAGTATAACAGTATCAGTCTGACATCCTGCACAACTTAGGCTCATGAGCACCTTTCTCAGCAATTTCCAGCTCAGCTGGTATGGGTCTTCTGCCTTGAAGACAGCAAATGAGGGAGATTCCACCACATCACCAGCCAAGCTGTTCAGTGTTTAATTCTCCTCAGCTGTACACACGTGGACTGCGTTTTTCCTTTGAATTTACTGCACTTCAGTTTTCAACCACTGGCTCGTTCCCCCCCTGCCTATTGAATGATCAAGTGCCTACAACAAGAAATCTTCTCCCCAAGTGAACACTTGTAGAGCAGACCAAGCTCTCTAGTAACTGTCCCTTCCTGAAGCTCAATAGACAGCATCTTCACTCCCATGCTCTGAGGCCCATGTGCAAACCTAGACTCATTCTTGCAGCATGTTCCCAAACCCTTGCCAATTTGTCAGCATTTTTCAGCCCACGTTCTCAGTTCCATGTACAGTAGTTAGAACAGATCTCCCAGCATTATACAAAAGTCACTGTAGTCCACATTAAGTGGTTTAAAAACTAGCTAACCAACAGATCTCTAACAGCAGCTGGAAAGGGCAATTCATCATCCACTTGTGCCCTACAAGAATGCACTCTTGAGCATCTTTATTTACAATACGGGAGAGACAGTTATGTGCAGCCTCCCAGACAACAATACCAGAAGTCCTGCTTGTTCCGAAGTTTGCAGAGAACAAATCAGAATTGGCAGAGCAGGAAATACCCACAAGAACAGAGCGGTCTTTTTAATGCTCTCCCAGCTTGTTCGTCACTCAGAAGGTTGGTCCCCTTTCTGCTGAGAGTGGAGGAAGCCCAGCCCTCTGCAGTGAAAATCAGTTATGCTGCCCATCCACAACAGGACTTCAACCCCTTGCTGCCCCCATCTCCCCCAACACTTCATATCAACTCCAAGTTAACTGGCTCTCCACTTCCCAGGTTCCCTCGCATGAAACTATAACCACATTCGTGCAGCCCCATGGCTGCAGGCACTGAGCAGTATGCCTGGTGTAAGGAAGGGAAGAGCAGAGTTACCTCGTATTCATCAAAGGGCTCCAGAGCCTGCACTCTCTGCCGCTCCTCTGCTGGAATACAGAGGGTGTAGAACTGGTTCATATCTGCAATGAAGCACTCGGTCCACCCCTGAAACAGAGACCCACATTCCCCAGAAAATGTCACTCCCCCAAGGACAGGACCACAGCCAGGAGCCTGTATCACCGGCCAAGTCAAACACCGACAGCCCCTTCTCCCCGGCGAGGGCATCTCTACAGGCTGGCGGGTTCCATATGGCACCAGTGCCCCTCCCGAGGTGCCACTGGATGGAGCATAGGGTCCCACCCTTGCTGCAGCCCAGCCAGAAGGTCCCTGGGTGCTAGCACCCTCAGACGGACACGTGTCCACTTTACCAGCAGAATACTAGCTTTGGCATGAAGAGCGGTTCCAGGGAAAGGGAGAGGGCTTCCAGAGACTGGATGTGGGAATGCAGCTGCAGAGAGGGCCGTGTCAGTTCCAGCCTGCCTGAAGTCTCCAGGCCCTCAGAAGTCCTGCTCTTTCCCGTCTCGCACAGACTGCACATTGCCCCAGCTGTAAGCACCAACCTGCTGGAGGAAGCGTCTCCGCTGCGCCTCGCAATCCGGGTACTGAGCAAGGCCGTGAAGTGCTGAGTTCAGGCGGCCGAAGTGCTGCTGCATGATGTGCCCAAAGGGGTCCTCAGGGTGCATCTGCTCATAGAGCACAAACTGCGCCTGGCAGAAGTGCTGTGCCGCCCACCGGATTAAAGCGTCCGACCTGTCAGAGATGCACGTGAGAGCAGCAAACAGGACAGTGGCTCCGGCCCATGCTGAAGCAGGCGCCAGACCCATCCTCACAGCCCCACAACAGCAATACCAGAGGTCTTACTTTTCTGACAGGCGCGCTGAGCAGAGACCTAGCAAATTAAGGGGAGGACAACCCAACCAACCTGCTGTTCTCCATGTAGGTGAGCACCACTTCTGCCAGGAACATGGTGGGGACCCCACTGTCCAGTCCCGCTTCTTCCAGGGCTTTCTCTAACTGAGACAGCTCAGACAGGTCTACTCCCAGTAATTTATAATCTTCTCCAACAAAACTCATGGCTCCTGGGGGAAAACAGTTGAAATACCCTTGTCACGATGCTGACTCCACACTGGCAACAAAACGAGCGAGGAAGCAGCCATCCCACAGACAACTAGCATCGCACCAATGCACCTGCTGACAACACAGGGGACAGGGGAGGAAGTGGGGAGCCTCCTGCAGGCATCTCCATCCCTGAACAAACTACAGCGAACAGGCAAGAAGCACTTGTAGGTTGTGCATTCTCGGTGCCTTCACGTTTGCCTCAACCCCAGGGAGACGACTCCCAGACTCTGTTTCAGGTTAAGCACCTGGGGGATCAGATGCAAAACAAGTTACAGCGATGATGCTTCAGTCCTACCCACTGCAGAACTGAAACCCTGCCGAGTTGCCCCTTGCTCAGCACAAGCTGTCTGCAGAGCCAGGCATATAGAGCTGCTCGGAGAGTCTCTCATCAGCACCCTTCACACTCAGAAGGTTAGAGACGTTCTTAACGAAGTTCTAGATTCTGCAGCTCACTCTGGGCCCAAAGAATAGCATCTCCCTCCACACCACAGGGGCAGGCACTTAGGGTCACCGCAGACCACATCAAATGTTGGTGCATGCTGTGGCGATCTCTACGCCACACCTCTGCATGCGACGCGATGCGATGCCAGAAACATCATACCTGATTCCTGACCTCCAGTTCCTCCCACCACCATTGACAAATCCTTTGTGCCCCTGATCAGAGCAGCTTTCCGGGACACCACGCTTGGGAAATCCACCTCATACACCACGGTGCGGCTCAGGAGACCCGCAGACTTGAGGCGGAAATACAGGGAGTCGAAGCCAGCCCCCAGAGAGAGGATCTGCAGCAGAAGAACGAGAGACACGTTATCCGCTCCAGCAGCCTCCTGGGTGTTCATAGAGCAAGAAGCTGCAGCGTATCGAGGTGCTCACGTCACGCCCCAGCAGACTGTCACGTAGGGGTGCACCGATAGATTTCTTGGGGACCATACCGATGGCTGATTTTTAGCAAGCCGTATCAGCCGATACCAATCCAATTGCCCATACGCACCCCGCCAGCACACGTTTACCGGCCACGGTATCGACCCAAAAAAGGCCGATTGCCAAGACGTCCGTTTCCCCGAGCTCACGTCCCGTCCCCCCGAGCTCACCTGTCTCCGGGGGCAGCCACGGCTCTGCAGCAGGAACCGGCGCGCGCAGCCATCCACGGCCTGGGCCCGCACGTAGTAACCCCTGCGGAACAAGATGCAGCCCCGGGACTCAGCTCCGCAGAACAGAGCCTCGCCGCCCCGTGCACTGCTCGTCACACGAGGGGCGAACCTGCCCCCGGGGAGGGGCGCCAGGCCTCACCGGTGGACGAGCGGGGCGCGGCGGCGCGCCTT